TTCGCGGTATGAAACCGTACTTTAAAGTAACGATAACGGTAGCAATGGTAACTAACGTTTTCGAATTTATACATTTTGTAATACTATAACACGAAGTAAAATAATTTCTATACAATTATTAGCTATATGATTACCGAGCACGTACATTTTGAGTTATCTTTGATTTCTGTTTATATCCGAATAATACAATAGTAACTTTCCCATCTATTTAAAAAAAATCATAAATTTAATCTGATTTTATCAATTCCCATTTTTCACATATATTTAGACTACTAAGAACCAATATTATTTTTTATATAACACAAAATGAGTATCGCTAAAGAGGTCAATAATTATACGGTTCACTGCCTGTTCTTATGATTTGTTCGACTGATTAGTGTGATATGATGGTCCCATATTGTCGATGTTCGTTTAGATTATTACATCTCATACGGGATTAACACATACGGGAGAGTTCTACACGTACGCTTCGGTGCTATCATCCCTCCTAAGACAAACTCGAACAAATACGGGCGGCGATATACAAGCGGCCATATACAAGCAATTTCATCCTCTTCTCCTTTAGGTGACACTAATCGCTTTGCATCACTTTATCCTTGACACTATCATCAACCAGTACGAAAACGAGGAGTTTCCAGTGCACAACTTGCCCTAATTTTCTATCGAATCCTAATTATACAACATCCGGCAAACAAAAAGGAAGTAGGGCGGACGGATGCGTTTGTGCAACTCCGTTTCGCGAAGTTGCACACTTTTAATCTTTAACATTCCGAAACGTTCGATATGCACATATATAGAGCTCCAATAAGTGAGTTCTTTTTGGCTGAATATTTCAAATATCGAGTGTGAATGCGCGCCTGTTTATTTTTAAGATGAATGAATAGAGCAATCTCTCCCGGCTTATATAACAATATATTCTATTGTTTATTTCGCAAAATTTAAATCGATCGATTTTATTTCAATTGTAATTATTTATTTAGCAAATATTTTAAATGTTTAATAACACAATAAATTAATAATGAATCTTTATTAATAATCGATTAACTGTTATTAAAACTGTTGTGTAATGCGTATCGTATAATATATAATTAGCGAGACTAAAATTTATAATATATATATATATATATATATATAGAGGCATTCAAATACGGATTATGTTAATATAAGCATAATCTATTCATTTTTTCAGTATTTAATTTTATTCATAATTTATATATTGGTCAAAAGCTTCGTACGTATAACTAACAAGATTCTAAGGGATTGTTTTCACCCCTGAAACCGATTTTTAGCACCAACAAAAAATCGTTTCGTTATTAGGGACTACTACTCTATAATTATGCAAAGTTTCAGATTTTTTTTAATTTTCGCGTTGCCGAAGGTTCCTTGTAAGTAATGTGAAATATATGTGAAGAAAAGCGCGATAAATCTGACCGAAAGAGAAGATGTGTAAGAGCTGCTATAGAAAAGAAAAAATTGAAAGACATAATATATACTAAAATGATCCTCCAATCCTTCTGTTTTTCTATTCAGAGAAGCAGTTGCCCGTCTCTAACACCCTCATTTTTTCTTGCCGGTTTCTCGCATCGGTTATTTTCACCCTCATTTATCCTATCATTTCCTTTTGCCATAAGAGCGCACAGAATTGAAGGCAATCAATTTATCACATGCATACGCACTGTATACCGACGCATACGTACACACAGTACATATGTACGCAGCGAAGGTTACGCATTATATCATACATATATTGAGTAGCGAATATGCCGAATCATTCTTACTATTTCGAATCCTCCTTTTCAACATCTTCGACTCGGATTATCGTTTCAATCATCGCTAAAGATGAGATTCCAGACGAGCTCTCTCCGAAGTAATATTTTATCTTGTCGAGCGTAAGTCGCGCGTATGACACGCGTGAATTTATATCATAAGATCTTAGACTGACACGTGTGGAAATTTACATGCACTTTTCATTGTTTATCCGTATAGCAGAAAAGCACAAAGATCTATTTGGCGTTCGTTCAAAGTAATCGTCGGTATTCTCTCCGCGTTACGAGGAGGAATTCCTTGGATCATTTCTTCGACATTCGACACGGGTGCTCTGATCCAATCGCGGTGTCGGCGCATTTCTTTCTTTCCCATCCTGGAAACAGCGCGCTGTCACGCGCGACAGGTATCTCCTCTGGGAACGTTCCACGGATTTCCGTCTTTTTTTTCCCAACGAGTTCCGAGACTGCGCCGGTCTGGTTACATACGGTCTGTCCTCACTCGCGTCCTTACTATTCATATTTTCATGAATTTTCATTCGCTGCTCGCGGGATTGCTCGTTACCTCGTCCATATTCGCGCTCGTATTAGCAATGCGACGTGTGCGACAAGAGGACTCTATTGGTTTGGTATTCTTGCGAGATCATAACGGAGATTTTTTTTATTCTGATAGATTGTCAAAATGTAAATGTGCAAGTCTCGCAAATGGCGAGGTGGAAGCGCGAATAATCTTTATTCGACGAAAATGACATCGGATTACCCGCCTCGGTGGCTCTCCAGCTTGCTCTTCAATTTCACGTCCAAGTGGAAAGAATTCTTTTAAAGCAGAAAAATAATTCGTCCAGGCTTTATCCTTAGCTACTATCTACCATTCTTGTGAGAAGACTGTAATAAAAATCTCTTTTTTTTTTCTTTCTCATTCTCTTTTTCTTTTTCTCCGTTTCTCTTCTTTATGAGCACTTGCATTTTAAGATTTTGTTGAGTGAAGGATCGTAACTTTGAAAAATACAGTGATTAATTGTTTTGAATTTAAAGTAGAGGAGAAGTTTCATTAAAATTAATGATCGACTTGAACTAATTCTCTTGTTAGCAATTGCGAGCATCTATGCGAGCTAAAGTTCTTACGCAGAAAAAATTTTTTCCTGGCGAAAAATAAAACGCATTTTTCTTCGCGAGGTGGTCTGATGATTAAAAGTATTTCACAAACTTTCTCAACGCGAGAAGACAAAGACAAATCTATGTTTGCGTGATAGCGTTGTACCGACAAATAACCTGCTTGGTGTTGCACATTGACTTTCGCACTTTTATAAATTTGAATCCCCTGACTGAAAAAATTGCTCGTTACCTCGCGCATTTGCGTTCATGGCCGTACACCTGCTACACCATTAGAAATTTCTTTTCCTGTCGCGATAAGAGCAGCATCCTCCCGCCAATATATATTCGCGAGAATAGTATAATAAAAGAAAAGAATAAAAGAAAAGCAAAACAGCGAAAATGTAAGAGCTAAAACGTCTACCAAGAAATTGAATTCACATCGCGTGTCGTTTAATTTCCGCCTTTGGCGAAAGGTTTTAAGTAATTAATGGCCGACAAGGAGACGAATCTATCAAATGTTAGACTAAGTTATTTTCGAACTTTTTTTAATTTAAGACTTTAACGTAGACGAATTTTACACATACGAAGTACGATTGTAATACTTTTAATAGCGTAAAGCCAATAAAATTCAATGTTATATAGCTAATAATAATCGATAGTATAACATAAAAAAAAAATATTCAAAAGACATCAATTAATAGTTTTTATAAAATTTTATAATTTTACCAATTATAAAGAATATAAATTGAACAAAATCATAAGAACGTTTAGAAAAAAAGATCGAATCAATTAACTAAAACAATACAAATCGTTTAACTAGCTGCAGAATGTGCCCGTATCTATAATCGGTATCGTACGACATTGAATATAATTTAGGAACACGGTAAAAAAATGAACAATATATATATAGCTAAATTCTAAATTAAAATCAACTAACCCAGTTACAGTTAAAAATCCTGAGATTGTTTCCTTTGTAATGAAAATCTGTGCTTACATACTTTTATATTCTTTTATTATATGCTTTTAGAAGCTCGCGCTTTATAAAAGTTTGCAACTTTGTTTAACGCTCACGCAATCCTAGAAAATAATTAATAAACATATTGGAGAGAATGCGCTTGCATATATATTAAAGTTTGTAGATTATCTTCTATATTATTATTTTTCATACATTACCGTACTGCGCATTAAATATAAATCACTCTGTCGCATCTAATCGCGGTCTCGTAATTCGATGTAACGAGATATTACGCCAAGTAGCTCGCTGGCAAGTTTACCTCCTAGAGAGAGGGGAACGTACTAATAGTAATTACATTAGCGGAAGTAAAGTGTACGACACGAGCTGAAAATGTGGGTGTTCGCGCGAGTATAAAACGATTCGCACGCGAGTTACACGACGGCATAAATTTGAATACAGTTTAAGGCTGGGTTATATGCGCGACCGCACGTTGCATCGTGAATTAAGTAAAATTAAATTCCGGCATTCATATTTACGCCCGACGGGCGTGTATGCTCTTAAAGCGAGATTGCAACACGGTCTGTCGCACGTGCACAGGACGGCGCGTAAACCCAATTAACCTCGGTATAGCACCTTTTGAGAGCCACTACAAAAATCTTGTGCATCCTTTCGACATCGAGAGAAATCAGATCTTCCCAGAAATAGAGTGCCAAAGTTAGAGTGGCTTCCAGAACGGGAGTTTATTTCGAAGAACTACTACACTATCCACTTATAGATATCGAGCATATCGTGCGGATGACAACAGAAAATCAATTGACCCACATAACCAGCAATTCGTTAAATGCCGATCGGTGGCAATACATCGTAAAGTGGTAATGGAATGCATCCGTTAATCCTGAAATATAGCTATGTACAGTAACAAGATTTAAAAGCGGACAGAATTATTGCGTGATCTGTTCGCGCAAAGCTACAAATGCGTTCTCTTCTTTTTTTTTTTGTGACGAAAATATTACGTATGTACTGAAGAGTACTGTATTTTAGAAAATCGGACTCTTTTTCGATCTACTCGGAGAAAACAATTGTAATATTAACGTTAAAATTAATATTAAGTTACTGTAAAATATAAAAGCATTAATATCGAAATGCAATATTAGGAGGCTTAAGAATGCGTTTAATCTCTGTTTCAGCTGTCGGAGGACATCGGGTATGTCCTTTATTCTGCTCTGGGCAGCTTCTACATCCCATCTTGTATCATGGTCTTCGTCTACATACGTATATACTTCGCTGCCAAGGCTCGCGCGCGTCGCGGCATCCGGAAACAGCCACGTCCACGCGCGGTAGTTCCGCCGGAATCGCCCGACGTCAGGCAGACGAGCTTCACTCAGAGCACGCCGGCGACCGATACCAAGAAACCACCGGGATTAGTCATGGAAAACGTCGCCACAATCGAGAACCAACCGGTCCAGATACCGATTGTCACGTGCGACTTTGCCAGCGACGTCAGCACGTCGGAGGCTGATCCCGGTGGAGGCATCAGTATACAAATGGAGGAGAAAGACACGCTGAAGGTAAGATTTCTAACTGTTTGAGTGGCACTTTCTGCGAAGATCGAAACTTGAAGCTTGAAATAGAAGATTTCGGAGGAAATTTTATCCAAAAAAAAAAAAAAAAAAAAAAAAAAAAAAAATGATTTTGTCGTGACACTTGGTTTTGCTTTTAGTTCAAGACCTTCAGCGTGCGCATTTCTAATTTAAATTCGGAGAATTTAAATTACTATAGTAGCTTTTTACATTATGAAGTTTTTGTGCTTTTAAATTACGATTTGCAATTGTTTATTTAGCTATTTTTAATTACCATTTGCAATTATTATCCAATCGTATCAAGTCCATTAAATAGATTTAACACATTAATTTTTTTTCTAATATATACGATTATAGTTAACGTGCGTTGATTATTATCAGCATGATAAAAATTGTACGGAAAGCTCTGTATCCGTAAATTCCAGATTACCTCTGTTTTATCACATTTTTCCTCTCTATACAGATATCACCATTCACCATTACTCTATCAAAGTATATCTCACATTGTCGATATCTCGTAAGAAACGTTAAAGTAGAAGTAGTAAATCTTCGGAATCAAACATCTCGTATTGGAATACAGACCGGGGAATCGAAAGAGACGAAGATCCCAGCAAAAGGGGACACAATATAGCAACCGTTATCATCGGTATCGTTATTATCAGTATCGTGGATCAAAATATGCGATCAATCGATCATACATAAGCTTCTTTCGCCATATCGCGCTAGATTACTGTCTCTCATCGCTTCTCGTAAACTGTATATGTCTTGATAAATTAAAGTCCGTATCGGGAAAGAACATTCTGCCGACAACAATCATATTGCTTTATGTCAAATATCATAAGATTGATACGCGGGTTCTGTCTCTTCGACAAGGAAATATTCTCTATCGCGCGTCAGTCAATATTCCCGATATACACATACATGCGCTCGGACGACACACACACCTACATACAATAGATCTATAATTACATATCGAAGCTACTAATATGCTAACACGTTTGTCCTGCATTCTATTAATAATTAATATTAATACGAGGTAATTTGCAAATTAATATCCACTATTTGTGAAAAATACGAAACGTTTTCCTTCACTTAAGAGCAAAGCTTTCAATGCTCGATTGTGTCAAGTATATTGTTGTCAATGAATTATGTCAGTGAATATATTATTTTGCATTGAGCATTAAATCGCGCATTGCAAGACTGAGGAAAATTCGTATGCTCGCAAGCAAGGTCGCATTCATAATTATATACGAAAATACAGTTTTACACTAGAAGAGGGAGATAATTGTACGAGGATGAGTTTCCCATTCTGACTGTCGCGCAATTACAGTACGAGGTCTCATTCAAACTTGAGTGCCAAGAACACACCCGCTTTTGTTACCTCGGGTTCTATATTACAATTTCATGTCAAAGATTCTCGCGATAATTCTACCTTTGCATGAAAATCATGTATCGCAGATAAAAACATAGACACGCCTAATATTTCTATCGGATTTTTTGAGACTTGAAGAAAACTGCACATGGAAAAAAGTTGACTATTAACTTCAATGTAGAATATATGAATAAGTACATTATGTGTACTCTTGATTTAACCCGATATAAAATAATATTTTAATGCATTGTTATAATTTTTTTTTTTTTAGTAATCTTTTATAATATTAATCAGATTAATTTATTCTGTGAGAATTTTGTATAAAAATTTAAAAGCATGATGACTAAAGGTTTCTCAGGAAATTTTAGTGTTTTTAACGTGCTTCACAAATTTACTGCGCACACATTTAAAACCTTATCTCGAAATTAACAACTAATTTTATATACTGCATCTAGAAAATCACAAAGAACCTGCCTTGGCAAAGTAACATGCTCACACAGCACTAAACACAGTGCTGATATAGCGATTGTTATACCATCCACATTTATAAAACATATACAGCGAGGTTATTTCATTAATGTTTGTCCAAATTTAAAATTTGATATAAATTTTAAACAAGTTTAGCTCAAGCAGAAATAATTACCGCGCGTGGCTCTAATTGCCTATTTATATTATATTTAATTTTATTATAGAGAGCCTTTACTTATATTTATTTTAGAAATAATTTTCTTCTCAATCCAATAAAAATATCTACTTATCGATAATAAATTAAAAATTCCGCAATTCATATTTCAAGACTGTAAGAAGAAAAAAAGACAGATTAAATATTTAAAAAAGAGGAATGTCTGTTCAAGATATATATACGGTAACGAATTTTGTCGGCAGGTGAGCGTACCGGTACCGGCGCAAAAAAGCAGCCTGAAGGCGACCTTGTCGGTGAACGGGGATGGGCAATCGGGCGGTCAGAACGTGCCGGCGCGATGCCGAGCGCCCAGCGTCGGCATCGACGTCGACATGGTGTCCGAGTTCGATCCCTCATCGTCGGACAGCGGCGTCGTGTCGAGATGCGCGGTGGTGAAGCCGCTGAAGTTGCGTCTGTGCCAGCCGATCTTTGGTCGCAAGCACATAGGTAAGTTGAAGAAGGAGCACGGCGACGCGGCGCGACACGCCGGCAAGGACGAGTCAGGCGGCGGCGACGCCAAGACGGCGAAGCCGCGCGACCCGGAGAGAGAGAAGAGGAGACTGGCGAGAAAGAAGGAGAAACGGGCAACCCTGATCCTGGGCTTCATAATGGGCAGCTTCATCGCTTGCTGGCTGCCCTTCTTTGTCCTTTACATCGTCAAGCCCCTCTTCCCCAAGTTTGAGATACCCACGCAAGCCTTCGTGATCGCTTTCTGGCTCGGCTACATGAACTCGGCGCTGAACCCCTTCATCTACACCGTTTTCAACAAGGACTTCCGCCGCGCCTTCCGCCGGATACTCTTTAAATGAGCGATGCAGTATAGCGTCGACCAAGAGGGACGCTAGCGATAACCATATTCTTCATCCTCGGGTACACCGATACAGATCGTACCTCGAGGATGTTTCTCTCGATCGCATCGCGCGACAGCCGATCAGTTTCCTCGAATGATCTCCGAGGGAAACATTGATCGCATGGCGGCGAGTGGAATTCTACAATGCCGCGAAAGAATCTGCGAAATATGGAGTCAGAAATGCGCGACACGCTCACGACAGAGAAGTTCGCATTTCAGATCGAAAGAAGTTTTCCAGCTGATTTTGTTTTTTTAAATGCGAAGCGAGCAGCGGAAAATGCGCATTGTGAAAAATGCTTGGACAAGACATGCCGCTTCATATATCCCTTTGGGACCTTTGTCATCTTCCGAGAAGACGGAGACGAAGAGATTCTTCTTGCGTCCGTCAAATCAATGTACAACTTGGACAAGACATGCCGCTTCATATATCCCTTTGGGACCTTTGTCATCTTCCGAGAAGACGGATTCTTCTTGCGTCCGTCAAATCAATGTACAATTTTTACTCGGAAAAACATAAGATGATTGGTCAGAGAGAAAGTTTTAAGAAGATGTCGGGATACGCAAATGAAAATTTCCTCCGCGTTGTTAATGACAAAACAAATAATAGAAATATCGAGGTGAAATGTGTTTAGAATGTCTCGTTCATTAGACCCGTTAAATTACGCACATCGAATGCCGTAACGATCAGAATCGATCAGGCTATCCTTATACAGCTCACATGGTTCTTGGCGACAGATCAACGAACTTTCGAAAAGTACGCTACGGCTGGCCACGGGAACACAATTCGCCACATGCGACGTACTCTCGGGTTTACGATATACCTTGCAAAGCGAGTCGCTTCGTAGACCAAGAGGCAGCGTATCGCTCCTTCCTCCATCTGCGCATATTTTTTTTACTGACCATTCTTCTTCCACAAGAGAATAGAGGATAGCAAGAGAGAAACGGGATGATACGCGCGAACACTATATATCCCGGCTCTGCTCCGGATGGAGGATACTATTACCGTGCCTAATCTCTTGGTCACGTTTACGAAAGGCATGACAATCCAAAGTTGCGTATGCAACGCGCTTGCGTAGATATACACGGGTTCGCCGCGGAGAGTTACAAATTCCATTGTGCGTTAACTCACTTAGCAGTAGCAGATGCAGATTCGCGTGGGATGCAATTTAGAGCGGCATTCAATCGTGTATACCGTGCGATATGATTGGCGGCGGCGGCGGAAGATGACGATTGAAGAAGCATAAAAGATCCTACAAGCAACGATCGGCCGCGTGAACACCAGCCAGCGTTGACAGATCGTCGGCAGATCTACTGACAAATAAACGAGGATGCGAGAAGATATAAGATACGTTTCCTATTATGTAATTAGATATTCGCGCGTCGTGGGTCCGCTTAAAGGGCCTCTTTAAACGTCCGGCGTTCCAATCGTGAGTCTTCGATGTTAATTTTAACGGAGGATTACACATGTATAGAATTTAACAATTCTGTCACGTACGTGCAGGGTATATGGATTCGTGTGTTTATGTTGCACATGTGTGTGTGTGCGCGCGCGCGCGTATAGTCGTGTAGTTTCTTTCGTGCGAGAAAAAAAGTACAAGAGATACAGAAGCCTCTTTTTATTCTATATAAGCAGATTCTTCTATCGCAGCCTAACTATACAGCAATAATTAATTTTTTGTCCGTTGAAAACGCTCGTTTGTTTGAACGAGATATATCGCGAGGGAGTAAATCGGCGCGAAACGATCAATCATGAATTGTGTCTTCGATCATACATCGTCCGATACGTATGTGCATGTACAATATATGGATGTGTGTTTTCATATGGGCAAACACGTACACATGCTATCGATATGTGATGAATGATCGCTTTGCGTCGAAGGGTCCAAAATTGAATGCAAATCTAAATAAAAAAAAAAAAAAACAGAAACTGTATGCCCGATATTCCCGTAATTCAAATTTATTTCTTATCGTAACCGGAGACTTTAATCATACTTCGGCTATGTTGCTCGGGGCTCGGTTATGGTAGATATATTCTATACCGAACTTATGGTCTAGTAACGGAAAAATGACACGTCAAACGACGGGATGATCGAGAGTAAGCGGTTAATTCTCTCGAAGGGTATAAAATAGATCCGCCATTTAGTGAGACCGCGCTCCTAAGATAGAAATATTATTTCCGTAAGACGGAAATCCCATGCCTGTACCAGCAAACAGATGCTCTCCTACATCTTCTGACGATCAAACGCGGAAAGGGTGGTGTCGCAAGATAGAGGAGAGAGCAACGTCCCGCGCACCTGTGTTCGTCATTCCGCGGTAACAACCGGGAAACAATATTTCGCATTTCATCCCATCAAGCCGAGATTTTCGTACCGCGCAAGGGAGGTCACGACACGCGAGAGAGATTTTGGAATTTTCCTCTTCCGGAATTTCCAAAGTACCGGTGACAGCCCACTTTTCTCCGCCGCTCTCACTGGTATTTTACTTGGCAAATAAGAAAGAAAGAGAGAGAGAGAGAGAGAGGAAGAAAAGGAGAACAACACAGTAAGCTCCGGCACCATAAATCCTGTACACCCGATATAGCGTGTACATTAACGAAAATGTACGCGCTCATGCACGTACGTGACGCGCAATATACCACAACGATAAATCGATAAACATATTTCGCGCGTCTGGTTTTCGTGTTATTTAAGAGTATGCCTGCCTGCCTGTCTGGGTGCGTGCGTGCGTGCGTACGTATGCTCTCGCATCTCGCTCTCCATCGCTCCTTTATCTGTTTCCTGTCTAACTTTCAAAGTCTCCCCCATGATTCTTCGCTTAAATGTTTTCAGCTTTCATTAGCATTAATTTCCCCATTAATCTTGCTCGTGCTGTTCGAAATTTCTAATTTTAGTCTGTTTTTATAAGTCCATTTTCCATCTTTTAACATCTTATCTTAAAACTAACGTAATTAAGTTATTATACGTATGGTAATATTGTATAATTTTATTGTATAACTCGAGGATATGCGCGCTACAATTCCAAAGGTTTTAGTCTATAAATTCTGCTCTATTCTACCGAGATATTCTATCTCCCTCTCTCTATTTTCTGCGTTATTGTTCTTATTATTTCAATCCCCTTTCTTTTTCTTCCTGATCCTACGATGAAATGGTAGTTGAGGTGGTTGAAAAAGAGTAGGGTGGAAAAGAGGTAATTTGTGAGAATAGCGAGAGTGATCGCGCGCGGATGGTTGGGTACGAGGGAACCAATATGGAATTCGTTGATAAAACTGTGGCATTCGTTCAACGGATTATTAGCATAGCCGGGATCAATAAGGGGGCGCTCCTCGCCTTTTTCACGGAGGAAAGAAGGTGAGAGAAGAGAGACGCGTGTTTCCACACTATGGCAATCGATTGCACGAACGCGAGACGGTCGTTGGACCTAACCCGCCGTAGTTATTTGCGTCGAGCCACCATACGGCAAATATGCGGGACGAGATCTTGTTAAGTCACACATACTCGATGAGGATGTTTACACACGACCACAACTCACGTTGATCAAGCTGGGTTCGATACTCTTTCATCGAAAAACGCAAACGTGATAATTTTTTCGATCTTAATATTAATGGTAGTTCGATACTTGCTATAAAAAAAAAAAAAAAGGATTTTTTTTTTTTTTTTTTAATCAGTTTTTTAATCACTCGCTAACATCGATAAAAACTCTTTTCATACTGTATAATTTAATATTGTTTCTTATCTCTTCTCGCTTTTAAAAACTTTTCGTTTTCATATTTTAATCTCCGTTTTTATTACTATATGGAAAACAAAGAGGTCTTGTACATTAATACCTCGCATACCAAGATAAAGCAATTTTATATTGAAATTAATACACATTCGTTGCACACTAGATAAAAGTTTTCTCATTGTGAAGTAACTCTTGCATATTTTATATATCCACATACTTCAATCTATATTTTTCATTTCATATGCCGAATTTTTTTTATCGTTTCATTTTAATTTTTAAAAAATTCGTTTTTTATTATTACAATCCTTAAACGTTTATTATATTATTTTATTTATTATATAAAAGAGATATTTAAAGACAAAATTTGCTGATATGAACAATTAGCAATGTAATTCCAAGAATTAATTGAATAAAAACTAAAAATGTATCATCTAAAATATTCTAGTCCTCGCGAATTTCAAGAAATATTTATCCAGTATTATTCTATAAATATACGATTAATTTCACGGATGGTTAAATGGAGCAAATGTCGGGAGCGAGATACGAATATGAGCACATGGTGATTCGAATAAATTATCGATAAATAAAATAAAATCATAAGCGTATAAGACATTAGCGAATAAAATGTGAATGGCCGTGCAAGGAATTACCAAGTAAAAGCATTAAGGTAAAAATAAATATAAATAGCAAGTAAGAATTATATGACCGTTTACCAATTGTCATCAATTAATACGTGTAACACCAGTCGCTTTAGGCGTGGTGAAGAATTTTTGCAAACAAGTCTTTCGAAAAATCTCTGTGTGTCAGTACCCAATTATCTACTTTAATGATGTTCTTTAAGCAGTATAATGTACAGTGACGATTTCTCTCCAAGTTAAGCTATCGAGAATCGTAATCCGCGTGTAAGAACCGTAACGATATATATAGCAACAATTTATAAGAATTACTATGATCATTACGGTTACATCCGTACAGTCTAACTCCAATATGGTGCACAATACGCCACTCGCGAAGCGCTAAACGATATAATGCGAACGCACTTGAAACCGACATACATTGTACACATATGTATATTATATTACTGTGTTATTACTAAAATATATTAATTATTAATTAGATATTACTAATCAAAGTAGGGATCCAACGATTGACTCTATCTGTTATTTCCAATTCGCCGACGGCGGTGATCTTTACATCACACGAGATCGTCGTTGCTATGGTACTTAAGTTGGGAGAAGGCAGAGTTTTCTCGAGATTTTCTCAAGAGGGAGAGAAGGAAAGAATTAATACTCTAGTCTGCGCGCTAGTTTGCTGACTTCGAGATGTCCAGTTCCGGTTGCGAGTAATTCGGCGAGGCGAGAAAGTTTTCTATGATTCTTGTCGTAAAAAAACATTAGATGAGCGGAAGTAACACGTGCGAAAACGCGATGGTGGATGAGTGGCGATTTACGTTTTTTCCCTGGAACATAAATCTCGGGTCTCAGACTTCATTTGCCCCGACTATCTCCTGCGGATTAAATATTTCATCGAAATAAAACGCGCAACTTAATGCCCGACAAATTTATTATACCCGTAATAAAACGCCGTATTTTTATCTTACGATCAGTATCCGCACGGACGGAATCATCGTTGATGTGCTCGCACGGACACTGCGATCTCTTTCTATTTGGCACGAATC